AACTTGGATAAAGATATTGGAACGATAAACGTCACCATCTTATCCACGTATTTCTGGTATTCGGTTTGGCCGAAGCTTCGGCTGGTTTTTGGCCGAAAACGAAAATATGGCCGAATGTCCATTTTTTGGCCGAAAATGGCCGAAAACGAAAACGAAAACGAATATTCGGTCGGTCACTAAAAATTATTCAACAATTGATACCGGTAGCTTTATAAATGATAATTTTAACAGCCCAGTAGTTCCAAAGATTACATGAAATATACAGAATGGTTTTTGTATTACTTTCATAATACACACAACATGTATATTAATATAGTATACGAACATTACAAAGCATACAGATAGAGCATTGGCCAAATTATTTCGGCTTTTACCCGTGGTCCCCCCAACATGTCCCCCTGGTGGGTCCACGGGTAATTTTTTTTACCCGTTGTCCCACCGTTCTGAACAGTTTTTGCCAGTGGGTCTACGGGTAATTTATTTTAACCATCGTCCCACCGCACTAAAACGTACAAAATAGGGACTTACTAGCTGTTATTGGTTATTGAATTTTACGTTTTGTGCAAAGGTTGCACAAAATGTGCAACTTTTTTGATTATTTGAAATTGTTTAGGACAGACGATTTCTTTCGTTATTTTCGCCAGCTGTGAATTTATAACATCAGCAATACTATAAATGTAATAATTAAGCAAACTAACACAGTTGGATAACATTTAGATTTTTGATATATTGAATAACTTGAATAGGTTATTTTTTATTTTCATGGTCACATAACAATTCTTACATAATAATACTAAATATTCAAGGCCACAGTTGTAATAGAATTTATTTAAAATATGTACATGTCATCGTCAGATCATTTACCATCTACTGCAGGACAAAATTAAAATGTACCAGAGGCAAATGGAGGATTTATCTTAGACTCCCATGCTGACCAGATGGGTTGGGAGAAGAAACACAATTTCATTTGTTTTTTTCAGCCAAATGAAGTCCACTGCTGGACAAAAGTCTCCCCCAAGGATTTCCAAATAGACATACAAGTAAATATAATAAACTAGGACACAGAAATGCTCATGCATACACAGCAAAACTAGATTTTTACAGACAATACCTAACACAATCATGCATTTCACGAACATATTACATAGAAGTATCTATGCAGTAGATAAATACAGTCACAAATAGCACATTATGCATCTATTAGACCAGGGGTTCCCAATCTTTTTTACCCCGCACCAGTTACAAATTTAGTATTTTGTCACTACTCCCTATTCCGCCCTGCTGTTTGAAAAAGGTTCAGTCAAAAGAAATAGGCACCTATGATGATAGTAGTTAGGTTAGGTATATAGGAACAAAAATTAAAACATCTATAATATGAAATTTTTACAGCGCACCAGGGCACACTTTGGGAACCCCTGTATTAGACATTTCACGGACAATTTTAGAGCATTCAAAAAACAAAATTAGTGACTTACATCCTTTCAGCACACACTCAGCATAAAAAAATAGTTTTTATTATGTTTAGTTTTTAATGATACTTTAGGTAATACAGGTAATTTTGCAAACGGTGCATAATCCAATGAAATCAAATAGTTTATTCAGTACATTAGGCCCTTTCCAGGGCACTCATACACGTCCCAAACTCAAATCTAGCTTGCCCTACCACCACTTCGGGACAACATATGGGCTGGTGCTGAGAAGAAGTGGCGGAAGAAACTCAGTCACCTTTGACAGCCTCTCTCTCACATATTTGCATGGAAATCTTAGTCAGAATTAGGGCATGTAATATCGGAAGGTTTTCAATTCCGATATTGGATTCCGATATTAGATCTCAATATCGGAATTCCGATATTAATATCGGAATTGAATTCATGTTCTATAAAATTAATATTTGGTTATATTTGTAAGATCGTCGGTCCACCTAGTAGGAGGCCTGCCCACGCTACGTTTTCCAGCCCGTGGTCGCCACTCGAGAACTTTCCTGCCCCAACGGCCATCGTCTCTACGAGCTATGTGCCCCGCCCACTGCCACTTGATTTTAGCAATTCTGCGAGCTATGTCGGTTACTTTGGTTCTCCTACGGATCTCCTCATTTCTGATTCGATCACGCAGGGAAACTCCGAGCATAGCCCGTCGTATAGCCCGTATATATATGCCCGTAGCATAGGTCGCGGGAAGAGCCTGGATGCGGGCAGCGCAGGACCGTTCATTGTTGAAAACCTTGGGGGAGGCCTTTGTCCAGCAGTGGACGTCATTTGGCAGCGCTAAACTCGTTACGACATGCAACATGACAATGGGACAACTATCCGGCCGCCGGATATCCGGCTATCCGGCCTAGCAGCTCGCCGGATATCCGGTATCCGGTATCCGGCCAAACAACTATCCGTTTCATCTCTAATTAAAACTAGTTTCAGCCAAATGACGTCCACTGCTGGACAGTCTCCCCCAAAGATTTCCACGTAAAATAATAGACTTTAATAGATATTAATCACCATCATCAGTTTAGTCTGCGGGATTTCCTCTCGAATTGATCAGTTACCATTATTATAGTAGGTTATTGCCCAAAATAATCCATCGCAGGAAGGAAGCAAACAATATAATGACATTTCATGTATAATACTAACTCGGGATGAAAAATTATTCAACAATTGATAACGGTAGCTGTATAAATGATAATTTTAACAGCCCAGTAGTTCCAAAGATTACACGAAATATACAGAATGGTTTTTGTATTACTTTCATAATACACACAACATGCATACAGTATACGAACATTACAAAGCGTACAGATAGAGCATTGGCCAAATTATTTACGTTTAAAAATTTTCAACAACAATTTCAAAGATTTTTTTGTTTTTAAAGAATAAAATGAGTAATAAAAACATACAAAATAAGGAGTTACAAGCTGTTATTAGACATTGAAATTAACGTTTTGCTCCATTTGGTTAGAAAAAAACATTGCTTGCAAGATTTGTTTAGACTTTATAATATTTTGAAATTGTCCTACAATAGATTTCTTTCGTTACTTTCGCCAGCTGTGGATTTATAACATCAGCAATATTATAAATGTAATAATTAAGCAAATTAATACAGTTGGATAACATTTTGATATATTGAATAACTTGAAGTTAGTTTTGATTTTCATGGTCACATAACAGATTGGGCAATTCTTACATAACAATGCTAAATATTGAAGGTCACACAGTTGTAATAAGAATTTATTTAAAATACACCTCATCCATAATTAATTTGCCATACTGCAGGAAGAATAAAATTTACCAGAGGGAAATGAAGAATTTAGCTTAAAAGCCTCCCCACGCTGGCCAGATGGGTTGGGAGAAGAAACACAATTTCATTTGTTTTTTTCAGCCAAATGTCCACTTCATTTAATAAACTCCATAAAATATACATATAATAAACTATGACACAGAAATGCTCATGCATACACAGCAAAACTAGGTTTTTACAGACCGAATACCTAACACAATCATGCATTACATAGAAGTATCTATGTAGTAGATAAATACAGTCACAAATAGCACATTATGCATCTATTAGACCAGGGGTTCCCAATCTTTTTTACCCCACACCAGTTACAGATTTAGTATTTTGTCACTACTCCCTATTCCGCCCTGCTCTTTGAAAAAGGATGATAGTAGTTAGGTTAGGTAGATAGAAACAAAAATTAAAACATCTATGAAATTTTTACAGCGCACCAGGGAACTCTTTGGGAACCCCTGTATTAGACATTTCACTGACAATTTTAGAGCATTCAAAAAACTAAATTAGTGACTTACATCCTTTCAGCACACACTCAGCATAAAAAAATAGTTTTTATTATGTTTAGTTTTTAATGATAATTTAGGTAATACAGGTAATTTGGCAAACGCTGTCTAACCAAATCAAATAGTTATTCAGTACACAGGCCCTTTCCATGGCACTCATACACGTCCCAAACCCAAATCTAGCTTGCCCTACCACCACTTCGGGACAACATATGGGCTGGTGCTGAGAAGAAGTGGCGGAAGAAACTCAGTCACCTTTGACAGCCTCTCTCTCACATATTTGCATGGAAATCTTAGTCAGAATGAGTTGTGATTGTATTTAAGTTCTGCTGTACTGTATCACTTGATAATTGAGTCAATAGGTCATCAGAACGAAACATTATTATGTAAATAACAACAAATATTAAAACTAGACGTGCTACTGATGGATTATACGGCCAAATTGCCAGCGTACGCAGGTTATAAGTTGGTATCGAGATGCTAAGGTCTGCGGAATTAAAATTGAGATTTAGATGGCATCATAACAACTTCTTTAAGTTAAACTAGCGACATCGTACGCGTGGAACTCGTTTTACCCCCTTAGGGGCCCGTTCCCGTGGGAATTTCAGGAATTCCTTTCTTAGTGCACCTCTACAGAACCTAAGCTACGTCCCTTCCAAATTTCAAGTGCCTACGTTTAGCCGTTTAGGCTGTATGTTGATATGTCAGTCAGTCAGTTTCTCCTTTTATTTAATTAGATAGTCTCAAACTACAGCTACCTATTTAGTGTGTAGAATCGATTCCAGGCTTTTTCAAAACATGTTGTAAGGTTGTAACATGGGTCAACAAGCCTGGAGCGAGACAGTACCAAAGATTGTACGAAGAAGTACAGCTGGTGTTTCAGGAATAACCACCAAAAATATTATGTACAAATAGGACAGTTATAATATTGTTTTTAGGTCAGATATCCAGGGGCCATACTATCTACTAAGATTGTAATATTGAATGACAGTAAATACACAAGTAGGTACATGGTTAGTCCGAATTAAAATAATGTAGGGGCTTTCTTGTAGAATTGATGTATTTTAAATAATCTAAGTGCCCAAATTTAACGTTTTAGGGGTTTTGATGCCATCTAAAACGTTTAGAATCAGTAAATAATAATAGCGCTGACTAAATTATTCATAGAACCACGCCGGGTATGGCGTGGTTCTCAGCCATACATTGCGTACTCACCTGAAGTTGCCTCGTCCTCGATTTCCTCTAAAGCTGTTGACGTCTTCATCGTCGAAAGGACCATCCTCAAAACCGAGCATATCTCCTCCATATTCTTTAGAAGGATCCACAGCCTCAGTCAAACTCAGTTCACTACTCCTACTCTGCTGCTGTACAAGTTCGTTCAACGTAGGTTGCGCCGTTTGCGTTTCCATATATTCCTCACCCATTGTTAGCTAAATAATCCTTGAACACAAATCACTAAGTCTTCATCACTATTCAGTTTGTTTTTTGCGAAAAATCACATCACATCAATACCGCGGAATAACAAATTTTCACGCAAAATGGCGGCGTGCGACGGCTTCTCTGCTAGGGATTGACACAAGTCAATTTGTTTTGTCGATTGACATGGTTGTCTAATCGACAATCGATTTTCACGGTGGCTGAAATTAATTAAGTTTTTACTGATAACGATAAAGTTTAATCAATAAAAAAATAATATGACTCTCATTGGGAACCAGCTATAAAAATTAATGTTACGGGAAATCAACATTAATAACTGGAAATCTTGCATACCGATTTCCACTAATATTTATCTGAAAATCATCCCAGATTTGAAGGACCAGCTAAACAAGTAGGTAATAAATAAATAAGAATACCTACTTCAAATAAAAATAATTACCTACTGGATAAAATAATAAATTAGCAAAATGTGTAAAAAACGTTTACAAAATCGATTAAACGAACGAACCTCATGGAAACGATTATCAACTCGAATGTGAAATTTAATCNAACCTTGCTGCCTCATCTTCCGTCTGTTTTGCATACTAAGGCAGAACCGTTGGAAGACCTTATCACAATGCTCGAAGACCTTAATCGAGTTTCCCAACAGGTAGGCCTTCGGATGAATATGGAAAAAATGAAGCTTATGTTGAATGTCCATGTTGCTCCTTACCCAGTTTCGGTTAGGAGCTCGATTCTCGAGATTGTTGACAAGTAAGTATGTCTATCTCGGGCAAACGATCAGCTAGGTAGTTAGATGCAATTTCGAGAAAGAGGTAAATCGTCGAATACGAAGGCGAAAGTCTTCAATTAGTGTGTGTTACCAGTGATGATATACGGCTCGAAAACGTGGCCTTTGTATATAGGACACAACGTGCTATAGAGAGGGATAAGCTTGGTGTTTTTTACGAGATCTAATCAGAAATGAGAAGCTCCATAAACTAAGGTCGCTGACATAGCCCGACGAATTAGCAAGCTGAAGTGGCAATGGGCAGGACACATAGTACGCAGAACTGACGGTCCATAGTCCAGTAAAATTAATGTTTGAAAGGGAGTTGAGATGTCGTTCTTTGTTGACCAAGTACCTATGGCAAATTCTAAAATTGATTTAGAACAAGTTACATTAATCATATTATGGTTAATGTAACGTAAAGATATTCAAATATTTGCAGTGGAACAAAAAGTGATGGTGAGAGACATGAGAAAATCATTGGTCTTTGCCAATCATGTACTTTGGGCTTTGTGGCAGGTTTTGGCGAGTTTAAACGCTTTGTTTAAAACCTCAATTAAAACTTTTATCTGATTCCGATATTACGATATTGGCTCGCTCAATATCGGAATTGAAATATCGGATCTCGCAGTCCGAGATTCCGATATTACGAGATTCCGAGATTCCGATATTCATGCCCTAGTCAGAATGTGTTGTGATTGTATTTAAGTTTAGCTGCACCGTATCACTTGATAATTGAGTCGATAGGTCATCAAAACGAAACATTATTATGTAAATAACAACTAATATTAAAACTAGAAATGCTACTGATGGATTATACGGCCAAATTGCCAGCGTTCGCAGGTTATAAGTTGGTATCGAGATGGTAAGGTCTGCGGAACTGAAATCGAGTTTTAGATAGCATCATAACAACTTCTTTATGTTAAACTAGCGACTTCTTATGTGTGGATCTCGTTTTACACCCTTAGGGGCTTTTTCAACACATGTTGTCTTTTAACATGGGTCAACAAGCCAGTGTGAGCGAGACAGTGCCAAAGATTCTTAGCAGGTGTTTCAGGAATACCACCAAAAATATTATGTACAAATAGGACAGTTATAATATTGTTTATAGGTCAGATCTCCAGGGGCCATACTATCTACTAAGATTGTAATATTGAATGACAGTGAATACACAAGAATAATGTATGTAGGTATAAGATGCAGTCTGAGATCATGGTTAGACTCAATTAAAATAATGTAGGGGCTTTCTTATAAAATTGATGTATTCTAAAGAATCTAAGTGCCAAAAGTTCATGTTTGAAAGGTTTTGATGCCATCTAAAACGTTTAGAATCAGTAAATAATAATAGCGCGGACTAAATTATTCATAGAACCACGCCGGGTATGGCGTGGTTCTCAGCCATACATTGCGTACTCACCTGAAGTTGCCTCGTCCTCGATTTCCTCTAAAGCTGTTGACGTCTTCATCGTCGAAAGGACCATCCTCAAAACCGAGCATATCTCCTCCATATTCTTTAGAAGGATCCACAGCCTCAGCCAAACTCAGTTCACTACTCCTACTCTGCTGCTGTACAAGTTCGTTCAACGTAGGTTGCGCCGTTTGCGTTTCCATATATTCCTCACCCATTGTTAGCTAAATAATCCTTGAACACAAATCACTAAGTCTTCATCACTATTCAGTTTGTTTTTTGCGAAAAATCACATCACATCAATACCGCGGAATAACAAATTTTCACGCAAAATGGCGGCGTGCGACGGCTTCTCTGCTAGGGATTGACACAAGTCAATTTGTTTTGTCGATTGACATGGTTGTCTAATCGACAATCGATTTTCACGGTGGCTGAAATTAATTAAGTTTTTACTGATAACGATAAAGTTTAATCAATAAAAAAATAATATGACAAAAAATTAATATGACTCTCATTGGGAACTAGCTATAAAAATGAATGTTACGGGAAATCAATATTAATAACTGGGAATCTTGCATACCGATTTCCACGAATATTTATCTGAAAATCATCCCAGATTTTAAGGACCAGCTAAACAAGTAGGTAATAAATAAATAAGAATACCTACTTCAAATAAAAATAATTACCTACTGGATAAAATAATAAATTAGCAAAATGTGTAAAAAACGTTTACAAAATCGATTAAACGAACGAACCTCATGGAAACGATTATCAACTCGAATGTGAAATTTAATCCGATTATAATCGACGTATGATGTATCGAAAATGTTTAAAAAAAGTCTCCTGTCCTGTTCTACGTCTGTATCCCCCATTAGTAGTTTCCCTCTCTCCCACAGTGTTTTACAGCGTGTCCCTACAGTGCAGGCACCTCTCCTGAGCGTTCCTCTCTTCTCTCCTATAAGGGCTTTTGCCAACGGTGTCCCAGTCCTACTTGGAGTGTCCCGGTGTTACATGTATTGTCCCAAGCCTATAATTATGGTGTCCCAGACCTCCACAGAGCTGATCAGTCCATCACGGAGTGTCCTCTCCTCTAGTGCCCCTCCCTCCTAGCACATCCCTCCTCCTAAAACATGTCCCTCCTTTTACGTGTCCCTTCGTCCTTCCTAGTGTCCCTCTCCTACAGCTTCCCTTCTCCTAGTGGCCCTACTGCTAGTGTCCCTCCTCCTACATTGTGTCACTCTTCCTACACTGTGTCACTCTTCCTAAACTGTGTTACTCTTCCTACACTGTGTCACACTTCCTACACTGTGTCACTCTTCCTACACTGTGTCACACTTCCTACACTGTGTCACACTTCCTACACTGTGTCACACTTCCTACGATGTGTCACACTTCCTACAATGTGTCACTCTTCCTACACTGTATCGTATCACTCTTCCTACAGTTTCGTTTTTTTTCGACAGGAGACAAACGAGCAGAGACGCGAGACGGTGTGTCCCTCTTCCTACACTGTCCCTCCTCCTACAGCGTGTCCCTCCTCCTACAGCGTGTCCCTCCTCCTACAGCGTGTCCCTCCTCCTACAGCGTGTCCCTCCTCCTACAGTGTGTCCCTCCTCCTACAGTGTGTCCCTCCTATAGTATGCCCCTCCTACAGAATGCCCCTCCTATAGAATGCCCCTCCTATAGAATGCCCCTCCTATAGAATGCCCCTCCTATAGAATGCCCCTCCTATAGAATGCCCCTCCTATAGAATGCCCCTCCTATAGAATGCCCCTCCTATAGAATGCCCCGCTCGAAATAAATATAATTACTGCTTTGTATAAACCATTTTTATTGCTTTCTGCTTATCGTTAAGTACATCGGATCTGGAATCGGGTGGCACATAAAATACTGATTTACTTATAAATTATACAATTTGTGAACTTATGTCTTCATAAAGCTTATGGGGAATCTTGAGATCTTAGCTTTTTGCGGTTTCTTGTATTGCGACAACTCCTGGATAGTTTTGATCGCTTTTTCAGCACCAACTTTGCCGGATTGCGTCGAAAAGTAATTTGCGAGAACTGTACTGAAAGGAGGCACCGTCTTATGGTGGAACTTTGGCTTCACCTTGTTGTATGGTTGTGTCCTGATGATGTTCGGGTTATGGTCGTATTTTGGAGGGGGAGGCAGCGGTAACGACTTCGAAGTTATGATCTCTGGATTCTTCGCCTCAGAGGCCACCGTTCTAGCCGCTCGGCAGTTGTCACAGAAGCAAACTTCGTTTTCTTTTGCGAGTGGATCCGTCGCCATACACGAACCGACGATGCAGCACTTCGGTAAAGGCCCGACTGGACCGCTCGGGCCTGTAGGGCCACATGGACCGCCGGGGGAGATCGGGCCGCAGACGGGGACTGGAGGACACTGGCAACTTAGACACGGACCGCAGAAGCATCCGCTGCAGCAACCGCAAGGGCCACATCCACAAGGCCCACACGGCCCGCATGGCCCACACCCGCACGGGCCACAGGGACCGCACGGGCCGCAAGGCCCACAACCGCATCCACATCCACAAGGTCCACATCCAAAGGGTCCGCAACCGCATCCACATGGGCCGCATCCACAGGGGCCACACCCAAATCCACAGGGGCCACATCCGCAAGGGCCGCATCCGCATCCGCAAGGCCCGCACCCACAAGGACCACATCCGCAAGGTCCACAGGGTCCGCAGGGCCCACAAGGTCCACAGCCGCAGGGTCCGCACACGCCGCAAATGTCAAGCACGTCAGGAAGTACACAGCAGAAAGGCCCGCAAGGACCACAAGGCCCACACGGCCCACAAGGCCCGCAAGGTCCACACGGTCCGCAAGGTCCACAAGGCCCACATGGGCCACATGGTCCGCAAGGCCCACATGGGCCGCAGGGACCGCCGAACGGACCACAGCATCCAGGACCGCAGGGAGAGC